CTTTCTGCCACTTATTTTTGTGCCAGGAAAATACCAGGTTGGGGGTGTGGCATGTGGTTGCTGCTCCCCCAACCTGGTGATCAAAAGGGCAGCAGCAAGCTGCTTCTTTGAGGCCGTCTGTTTCACCCCATATCTACTTTTTGATGGATTCCTCACTCCCAATTATTTAACAATAAAAGCCAGAAAAATGGATCCTTAATCCCAAACTAAACTTCTGAGAGGAAGAAATAATCCAGTTTTAGTGTATATCCTTTACCCATGGTCTGGTTGATAGATCTCAGGGTTCTAATAAACAGAGTCACTCCTGCAGTCCTGAAGACTACTGTACTTCAATGTATTGTGACCTACAAAAATCCAACTTCTTAAAGTGAAAAATGAACATGTTTAAAGGCTAATGTTGTTAGACTTGGGACACCTTCACTCATGCTTATGCTTCATTCTGATAACAGTCATGACACTGAACATAGTACAAGGCTTTTTAAGATGAAAGGAGGTCAAAGTAAGACTTGAAATGACACAAAAACTAACTTTGAAAGAAAACTTGGGCAAAATCTTTAATATTTCCCAGGTAGAATCAAGTGGCTCACCAAATATATTCAAGGAAACCAGATGTGGTTACAACATACCACAAATTAGAAACATGCTTATTATTCCCTTCACCTTTGTTGAAGGTGATAAAGCAAAAAGTAGGATAAGCCTTGTGCTATGCCTCTACTTGTCAAGGCTTAGAACTGAACTTTAAAAACTACATAGTTTCCCTCAGAACATGGAAACTGCTCAATCTCAACATATAATAATGGGTTCAACATGGGCTCTGGTACATCCATCCTCCTTGCTACCCATGAATGTGGGTTTTCAAGACCTTTTGGGGCCCTCTTTTCCCCTTGCCTACTCACGTGCCTTCCAACCTCCTTCCTCTGTGTTCCTTTTTCCTTACTTCTTGTTCTGGCAATATAGAAGAAAAAAAGAATGACCTCTTGCCCATTCTGGCACTATGAACTTCCTTTCCTTCCTCCACTTCACTGCAACAAAAACAGAAGGGTGAGGAGGGAAGATGGGCACTCTCTTTTTTTATCAAAGATTTGAGACTTGAAAATAGAGACTTGAGACTGGGACTATAAGACTTGAATATATCATTGCCAAGTAATAAGGCATTGCAAATCCTTCAGACTTCTAACACAGAGATGGGAACTATGTGGCCCTCCACATGCTGGTGAACTACAGCACCCAGAAGCCCTAGCCAACATAACCAATAGTGAATAATGCTGGGAATAGTCTCAGAATTCCCAATTCTGCTGCAACAGGAGTAGACAATTTCTGCTCCACAGCAAACCACAGTCTTTAGTAAGAGGTATAAACCCAAACCATCAGCTTGGTCCCTGTGCAATGCCACAGAGTCAAATGAACTGCCCATCTGGCGTCACATTCGATTTTAACTCCCAGAATACAAGCAGAGTTTGCCCATTAAGAGGTATGAAAACAAACACTAGGAAAGGATGGGTTCTGGCCATGATCAAACTCATTTGCAATGCATCCCATAATTAAGAACTTCAAAAGAAAAAAAATGAAGTAGGTTTTGTCAAATGTATTATTAAAGCATAATAGAGTCCCCCAGGTCCCAATTAAGAAACTGATTCAAAAGTGCTGGAGTTAAAAGAAACGGCAGGTAGATAGCTCTGTTCACTCAGCCAACTTGAATTAGCATATTGATAGGACAACGGTTCCAGCTGGGATGAAATGTGGAGGTTGGCCCCATGCCTTGCTAGGCCAAAAGGGGACAGCTCCTAAGTGCTCAAACCCCAGCTTGAATTAATGAATATATGCAGTGCTATCTATAATTTTCAATAAATACAAAAAAAAGAAAAGGAGGGTGTACTGTTGCTAATCCGTTATTGTCTTGGGGACCAGATTAGTGTGATGTTATTATAGCATTGAAAATAATTAAGATTGCCAGCTGGAACAAACAGGTATTTTGCCATGTGACTGCAGGGAGGTTTTAAAACAAATGCTGAAGTAAATCTGGGTTATTATTAAAATAAATTCATGGATGTTTTTCACCAGCATCTTTAATTGCATTTTTTTTTGTAGTAGTAGTAGTAGTAGTAGTACTTTGTTTTTTTAAAGAAGCTAGGAGAGCCTAGATTATTCATGTAATGTGAAAAATTGCAAAACAATTGTGTGGTTTGATTTTTTTTTCCCTAAACAAAATCTAACATACCTTGAAATAACATTTTAGAAACCTGACAACAAAGCCAATATTTAGATGTCAAAAACATGGAAGGGAGCTTATTCTCAGCCTTATTATTGGAAGTAGGATTATCCTGCCCTAGCCTAAAATCTTTGAGTGATTTACACTATACTACACTACACTATAAAGAATACACCACGTTACATGTCAAAGATCATGGCAGATAGTAGTTCCCATTAGTAGCACAGTGAATCTGTGCTCTTGGTAGTGCTCAGTGCCATAAGAGCCACTAGTTGCCATGCTGGCAACTGCCGGCCCTGGTACCACCTCTTGTGTAGCAAGTCCTCCTACCCTAAAGAACAGATTGCAAGGGAGCAAAGGAAAATTTGTAGAGTTCCTCTCACGTTAATTTATCACTGAAGTCATTGTTAGCTATGCATGCATCCAAACGCTCTGTTTTGGACATACATGCCCTTTTTGGTTCCTGGTGGATCCAAAAGATGAGAATAACCTACCCAATGCTGCTCCTTTTTAATTGTCTACACCATCAGGTAATACTTCAAATGTGCATTTACAGGAATGCAAAAAAATCACACCCAGAAATTCCCTCCAGTGGGGGAAAAAAATCTGCCTGGGTTGAGGTGAGACTTTATTTGATTTGCATGTTCTCATTTGCTGTGTGAAAACAAATCAAATTAAGATTTACATCCCAGCTTTCAGCAGTCCTCATGATCATTAGCTAACAGTAAGCCTCAGTATTTCCAACTTCTGAGGAAAACACATTTATGTAGCCCACATCTATGTGGCAAATCTGGCAGTCTCTAGGCTCATACATGTAATGCATTAATATAAGGTAGTATTATATGCTGACAATCTTCTGCTATGTATTTTTTGGCAGAAACCTCTTTATCAGACTTGATAAAATTAATATCTTTTGGGCCCTT